TATATATTAATATATATATACCCTCACATTGGGATGCAGCGATGCGCCGACTCGTATCAGCAGACTCTTGTTGTGAAACTTGATATCTCATTCGTAATTTAGGATGAATTTTCGAGTCCACCTCCTCGTACTCATCGACTATTATATCCAACACATGTGCTGAAGGATTTTCGATGTCTGCAAACATGTATTCATGAATATAGGCGAGTTCGTTAGACACGCATGGATGAGCATAATGCATGTAATCATACACAAGAGAGGATTTTAGTTACACTGGCAGACAAATGGGATCGTTGTACATTGTAGATGGTATCATGAACACAAAAGGTTATTATGTATGCACCAACACGTATAAACATTGTACATTGTAGATGATAACATGAACACAAACAGTTATTTTGTATGCATCACAAACTCATGCCCTCCATACGAAGCTAGACATGTTTCCAATAGCTTGCCATTGATCATGTAAACGTGCCGTCCTGGCTGTCTATGATGGGCGTATATACACGGCTACGCAATAGACCCATCCATATCTACAAGCGCATATACACACACATATCTACAACCGCATATACACACACACAGCCAATTCATCTCTCTAACGCACATAGACTCTTCGTCTGGGAGATTCGTACGGCGATGATCATTAAGCAACTGGAGGGACCTTCCACTGAAGGCGTGGTGAGCTTAACATGGCACCCCCACGTCCCTGGGATGATTGCCAGTGTATCGTCTGCAGGACTGTGCTATGTGTGGAATGCGAGTGTGCGTGAGAGCTGGAGCGCCTACACCACAGGCTTCACGGAACTGAAGTTCAATATCATCTACACAGAGCGAGAGGACGAATTTGACAGTGAGGTGCCTATCACCAAGGAGGTATGGTTGTTGAGAACGATATTGTATTGTCGGTGTGGAACTAGTGTACATAGATCTGTGTTGATTTGAAATTTTTTTTACATATCGGTCTTTGTGCAATATTTTTATCTTTGTGATATGTTTGAGCTTGTATGGGAGCGAATCATGAAAGTCAGTGCTAGTGAGTTGTTTCCATCCTAGATAAATCTATTATATATATATATATATATATATATATATATGTATATTATATATATATATATATGTATATATATATTCTTTGGTGTGTGCGTGTATGTGTGT